TGTGATCATTTGAACTGATGGTTAATCTCATCGGTAAGTGAAGAGCTGCTGCACGCTCCACACTTACCAAGTCCCCTTACCTATCAGCTCTTTCTGAGCTGCCCGCCCTGCGCCTTGGAAAGCCACTGTGCCTGTGGGCAGGACTCCCGCGTGCTGGGAGCCAGCCTGGCGCTGCTAAGGCTGTTCTGGGAGAGGCGTGTCAGTAGGCTGTTTGCAGGGCTTCTTTTTGGGTCATGACCTATCATTGGACTCAGGTGAGGAGGGTTTTGCTGATGTGCAGTCTTTACAGCTAGGAAGCGAGACAAAAGCTACAAACAAATCAAAGCAAAGCTTTTGGAATCCACCAGGCCTGGGTTCAAATCCCGGTTCCACCATTTGCTAAGGAAGAATCTTCGGGCAATTTATAAACTATCTGAGCCTTAGTTACACTCATTCAGCCGTTAACTGGAGACACCAATTCATACTTTTGCCACCCGTTCAGAGAGGCTGACAATATCGACCTCCTAGAGTTTTTGTTAAGTAAGGTATACAGGGTGAGGCAAAAGTAGGTTTATAGTTGTTCATATGGAAAATACTACAATAAGGAATAAATAATAATACAAGAATAAACTGTTTCACATAAAGGGAAGGGATAAACAAGAACGGAATGAGAGGAGCAGGGAGGAGAGATGCTGCTTATTATTAATTTGTGTGTATAGATATATACACTCAGTGAACAGGTAGATGCAAAAATTAAAAAGTCACATTTAGTGAACAAAAATAAAAAGGATTAAAATGTTTCCTTAATAACTTAAAGTAAATAAGTGAATTGTTCCTGTCACATTGATTCATCTATTGCATGTGGCTACTCAATAAATGTTAATTGAATTAAATTAATAGCATTTGCCCAATGGTAATAAAAAATTAATTAACTGTCTGTCTTTTCTGATATTTAAGTGCATGCCCATTGGTTCTGAAATTGCTTCTAGCCCAAGCATAAATTTTCTATTTTACTGACTTTTAAGATACACTTAATTTTTTTCCCCTAAGAAACACAGTTGAGCTTCTAATTTTTGTCCTAATGTTGGTGGTTTTTTCTGTTGAAAAAAATTATTTTTCCTACATTAATGTCAAGATCTATCTATAACATCCCAAATATAGTTTCACATGTTCCTTATTTAATTCCAAAATAGTTTTCTCTGCAGAAGATGTGATACCGTTTTGATGTGATTCTCCTTTTAGCTTATGCTACTTTATAATACTTTGTGTACAATGTCAAATATCATCATGAAAGACGAAATGTGGGGAAATTATTGTTAGCATTGCTTCTATAAAAGACAGAAGATGTCATTTACATTCACCCAGAAATTGTGCCTCCCTTCAGATGTCAGATTCTGGGCTGAACAGACTGGGTTCTGACACGTGTGTGTGTCAGATGACTTTCTAATGAGCAACAGATAGCTCCCACTAGGAAATGAAAAAAATAAAAATATAAACAGAGATATAGAATTGAAATAACTTTATGAATGGCAGTTTAAGTTCTCCATAAAATTCTCTCAGTACAAGCCCAGTACCTCCAAATGGTTGCTGTACTTAAAATTGTCACAAAATTAAAAAGAGAATCGTGTACCACTTGGCTATATACAGTCTTCTCTGCATGTTCCTATATCTCAGTAACCTCTAGCCAACTTTTTTTTGTTACTGAATTACTTTGTGCGAAAGCAATTTGAATTCCATGCAGCCTGACTACGTGTGATCATTTGAACTGATGGTTAATCTCGTCGGTAAGTGAAGAGCTGCTGCACTCTCCGTACTTACCAAGTCCCCTTACCTATCAGCTCTTTCTGAGCTGCCCGCCCTGCGCCTTGGAAAGCCACTGTGCCTGTGGGCAGGACTCCCGCGTGCTGGGAGCCAGCCTGGCGCTGCTAAGGCTGTTCTGGGAGAGGCGTGTCAGTAGGCTGTTTGCAGGGCTTCTTTTTGGGTCATGACCTATCATTGGACTCAGGTGAGGAGGGTTTTGCTGATGTGCAGTCTTTACAGCTAGGAAGCGAGACAAAAGCTACAAACAAATCAAAGCAAAGCTTTTGGAATCCACCAGGCCTGGGTTCAAATCCCGGTTCCACCATTTGCTAAGGAAGAATCTTCGGGCAATTTATAAACTATCTGAGCCTTAGTTACACTCATTCAGCCGTTAACTGGAGACACCAATTCATACTTTTGCCACCCGTTCAGAGAGGCTGACAATATCGACCTCCTAGAGTTTTTGTTAAGTAAGGTATACAGGGTGAGGCAAAAGTAGGTTTATAGTTGTTCATATGGAAAATACTACAATAAGGAATAAATAATAATACAAGAATAAACTGTTTCACATACTTACAACTGTAAACCTACTTTTTCCCCCACTCTGTATAGGTGGTAACTTCACATACTTACAACTGTAAACCTACTTTTGCCCCACTCTGTATAAGAGAGCTTGACATAAATGCACGCGACTGTGTGTGTTGTGTGTAAGCAGTGATGTGGTTTGCAACCTGGGTGATTTGCCCCACAGGGAATACATGGCAATATCTAGAGACATTTTTGTTCATCACAACCCAGGGTGATGGGTGCTACTGGCATTGAGCAGGTAGAGGACAGGGATGCTGCTAAGCTTCCTGCAATCTCCCCGTCATGAACAGTCATCTGGCCCAAAACATCATGTGTTCTACGTGCTTGAAGGACTAATGTACACAGCTACGTTTATGATATTAGCTGGTTACTGGACATTTTGGTACCCAAGTAAGAAAAATAAATTATTTTTAGCATCATCATCCTTATATCATTAATTTGGTGAATCTCTCTTGGGTTAGAGGAAGCCAAGAGGTTCTCAATCTGTTGAGCTAATTCTATCTCTTCAATATTTTATTAATTACTATCAACAATAGTTGTTTTTCCTGAACTCTTATTTCTGCCAATCCTTTTTAGGATGAATCAAACTGCCACTAAGAGATATAAAGCCAGCAGCATAAGGGTTGGGAATAAAATTAAATATTGTTGAAAGCCAACACTATTTGGAGGATCAGAGGGAAATAAAAATGGCCTAAGACAATTGTGTGTACCACACTGTTAGCTCCCCTTCTGTTAGGAGACCTTGGAGAGCAACCGTTGATGACTGGTTTCTGAACGTCGCTCATGCACGCAACACTGGCTTGTTCTCTTCCCTTCTCCACTCTCCAACGCCGAGGGCCCCTGTGGCAGTTGTTCTCAAATCTGTCTGCACGTGGAGCTTCAAAAATCCCCCAGGGACTGTGATCTAATCTGTTGGGTGGAGTGAAGAGGAGGAGTGGCCTGAGCTTTTAAAAAATGCCAAATTTTTAAAGGGTTTCCCAGGTGAATTCTACTCTGCAGACTCGTCTGGGAATCACGGCCTGAGGAGGTAGGGCCAAGCAGAGGTTTCTCTCTGCCCCGCAGGAAGAAGTAGCTTTTGAAAGGATGATGACTGTGGACTCGGCCAGAAGATACCGTATTTCTTGCACTGAGCTGTGTGAGCATGGCAAAACCAAACCCAATTGTCCGCTGTGTTATTTATTTCAGCCACTCAATGAGCATTGCTAAATCAAGCTGGCATTGGGCCAGCAATGGGATGCGATTCTCCAGAGTTAATCTTCACCGCCCCCCCAAAGTACCATCAAATCGCCAGGAACATTGCTTGTTGAGCTCTCAAGATGTCCCTGGGAGTCAGCCTGGCCACATGTTTGAGAATTCTTACCTTAATTATTTTCTTAGTCTTAGGACTTCCCAGTTTAATGAGTGTAAATAAATAATAAATTAACTGCACCATTACCCAAGCTGGTTCTCTCTATAATATGACTTCATTCACGGCTTCCTTCTCATACTCTCCTCAATATTACAGCTTCTTAGTTATCTTTGCTAACTTGCTGGATGCTTGTGAAAGCCAGTAACGATGCCTGGCCTAGTCACCACTGTATCCAGTGCCCAGCCCACTTATTGATGCATCGCTGACCCTCACTCAGGATGTGGTAATGAATGAACAAATGCAGGCGTTGAATACATGAAGCACCTGGCCGCTCAGCATTCTCTATGCCTCTGCAACCACCATCTCAATCACGGACTCTGCTAAAGGACCTCTGAACATCGCTAATAATTGTGCAGGTGACTATATGAAAACACAGCATGTGCTCAAGAGCACCCCTGCCCTGAGCCACATACACCAAACCTGAGCAGAGGCCTAGCAAGACCTTTCAGCGAAGGACAGGGTGGAAACGTGGCGTGTGTGAGGGCAGAAAGAGGACCGAGTTAGGGACTATTGATTTTTAACACTATCCTTACACAGCATTTGTAGAAACAAAGGAAGGAAGGCACTTGGTTGAGATCACGTGCTCTCCCTGAGAAGTACTGCTCAGCACTGAAGACCCCTGACTACTTCTCAGACCCACAAAATGCTGGCAGCACAGCACTCCGGCGACATACTGCAAGATCTGGCTGATCCAAGTGAATGGACTCCTTGCTTATTCCGACCCATCAGTAAGAACCCCACAGTAGAAATGTTGCAAATTACGATGATAGCTAAAACTTAGAATGTGTGTAAAATTTTATAATTATTGCACTCTTTTATTCTTACTTGCATTTTCATACAAAATTTCCTGCTCCAAAATGCTTCATTCTTTTTTATTGTTTGTTTTGTTTTTTAAAAAATGTTCAGTTACAGTTTATATTCCATATTATTTTGCATTAGTTTCAGGTGTGCAACATAGTGGTTAGACAATCATGTACTGTACCGAGTGGTCCCCTGATATTTCCAGGACCCACCTGGCATCATAGGTAGTTATGACATTATTGACCATATTCCCTGTGCTGTATTTTACAACCCTATGACTATTATAACTACCAATTGTTTTTAGAAAGACTTTTTTCTTATAAAAGTCTAGAATGTGAAATTTTCTGCAAATGTCTCTTCTTAGGATCACTACATTGTGTCTACTATAGTGAATTTGTGTGTGTGTTTTTCTTTTTTCATCTAGATATGCAACTCACAAATGAAAAACATGCAGAAGAGAAACCCATTAATGCTATCGTTATAAATTCAGGATCCGAATTCAACATCACAGATGGACCAGCCAAGGAAACTTCCACTGAGAAAAAACTGTCAGAATCCACCACATCACTGTCCTCCCTTGAAGAATGTCAAACGAAATTTTCTTACCTCCAAACCGATGCTTCAGTTCATCAGAGAGACACTGATGGTATGTTTCTCAGAATCAACCATCTCTAAATAAAGCTCCCCAACCCCCAGCCCCTGTAAAATCATCACATATGCTGTTAGGGGAAAATGCTTTATGAATATTAAACAGGAAGACTTTTATTTGAAAACCCTGGTGAATGACACATGTCAAGGTCACTTTGCAATTACGAGGTGCTTGGCAGAGTGTTTGCTCTCAACGCTGGGAATCAGAGGCAAACTGTTTTGAAAGAGTTGGGGTGAGGTGTAATCATTTTTGCTGTGGGGCTATAAAATGGTAAAGAAAAATGGCAAACTTTCTTTTCTCAGATCTGGGACTGTTTAGTTGGGGAGAAGAAGGAAGAGTGGAATGCTATTGAAATGCTGGAAAAATATAAATATAGACAATATAGAATACCAAGATGCTTACAGCAGCAAGTTGTATAAAAAGGTTGGTTACTCTAGGCCAGTGGTCGGCAAACTGCGTCTCGGCAAACCACGGCTCGTGAGCCACATGCGGCTCTTTGGCCCCTTGAGTGTGGCTCTTCCACAAAATACTGACTTCTGCACATGGGCCACGAAGTTTCAATTGCACTGTACGTGCACACCCGCACGCGGTATTTTGTGGAAGAGCCACACTCAAGGGGCCAAAGAGCCGCATGTGGCTCGCGAGCCGCGGTTTGCCGACCACAGCTCTAGGTAATATCACTTCCTATGCATTCTGATCAGTGCAAACCTACACCAAACCATCCCTGTATGTGACAAAGCACATTCCATCTGCAAAGCCAATTTCAAATTGATTTGGAGCTAAATGATCAGGATAGTCAAGTTCAAAGTCACAGACTGCACCAAGACACATGAACTTCACTCAGGATAACCGTGCAGTGGCCTGTACAGGAGACATAAACCATTTAAGGATTTTGTGTTTTAAAAAAGCTAGAAGGAATTTACATTTACATTTGTGTTTAAAGAAAGCTAGAAGGAGTTTCTCAGAGGAAAATTCGAACGGGTATAGTTTCTGATCTGTATTTAAATTCATATTTACTTTTTACAAATAAGAAAAAAAATTTAAAACAAAGTCTATATAAGAGGAATTTGAAATCACATCAGTTTAACTCCTGGCTCTGAAATTTTTAACTGCAAAACTGTTTGTTTGTTTGTTGCCAACTCTGAATCTCAGCCTCTGGGTGATATAATGGGGCCTGTAACACCCCACAGAGCATTTTGAAGAAGAACTGAAATCACATGAATACAGCAACCAGCATGGACCCTGTCACATACCACAGATGCAGGTTTTGCTTGTATGATGATTACAGTTTTAGAGAATAAGGGAGGAGAAGATTCCAACATGTCATATATGTGGTGTCTTGTACAAATGTTGTCATGGATGCTTTAGACCAGAAGCTACAGACCAGCTGCCTGGTCACCAGGAGATGCTGGGAATGATGGCGTGAACTGGAAGGCAGTGACAGGTGGGCGAGGCTGTGGAGGCGAAGCTGCCAGCTTAGTGTTACCTGGAACCTCTGTTTCCCTTACAAAGCTCCACGCAGCCAGCAGCTTTGGGCCGACATTGGCCTGCGGACTGCCAGGTTATGACCTCAAGTCCAAGGTGATGCCTAAGTTTCTGGCTGTTTTAGTTTGATGCCAAACAAGAAAACAGGCAACACAGGAGAGGTCTCTGCATTTTATCAGCTAGTGTCAGGGATGCGAGGATCTTACTTGGAACGGGTCTTGGCCGTGTGACCCCAGAATTAGACACCACCCTGGTGCCCACGCACGCTGGGTAGCAGGGTGCAGCACCAGGCCTCTCTGGTCTGCCCGTCAGGGGGCGGGAGAAGGAGAAGGAGAAGGAGAAGGGGGAGAAGGAGAAGGAGAAGGCCATGTGGCTAGCATGGTGCCTGAACTCACACTCTCAGGAAGGGCCCAAATGACTGCCGGCAGGGACGTACCTGCTCCCTTTCTTTAAAAGCGTGAAGGAGAGTCCTGGGGGCCGTCATCAGACTGCTTTCTTGAGGCCTGGGCTCAGGCCAGTGTGACCAGGACATTCTGGTTTAAGGCCAACACAATAGCTGCTAACGCAGCCCTCCTTTTCCCAGTGGAAAACCCTCCCTTCAAGGTAAGAGACTGTGGTACCTGGGTGAACGGGTAGAAAACCCAGGCAAGGTTCACAAATAGTGACTTCAAAACACTCCCATGACCCTAGAGCACAAACACCAAGGAAGTCAAGGGTTCAGTCGGACTCGCTTCATTGTAGAGAATTGTCATCGCAGTTAATTTAAGGATGCAGCCCCTGGGAGCGGGGTCACTGTGGCGCTGAGAGAATACAGAAATCTTCCAGAAGCAGCAGGGGAAGCGGAAGGGGGAGAGGAGACCGCATCCACTTCCATGCCACGTGCGGCTAATTTCTTTCAAATGCATAACGGAGTGCAGGGGAATGGGGGCTTAATTGCTAATATCTATTATTCATATGCAGCGCCCCATTTAAACAAGATGGAAAGCCTCGCACGTGCAGATTTGTAAAGCACCTCCCCGCGCCAGCGGTCACGGGTGCGCCATGGGGCTTTCAGGGGCCGCGCTGCGCATGGCCCGCTGCTCCCCAAGCATCACATCATGCAGTCGAGGCTCAGCCCGGGTCCCTCCCGGATAAAACGGGAGAAGCCAGGGCACCCCCGGCGCCTAGGCAGCATCTCTGCATTGTGATTGCAAACGCATCCCCGCGGGTAAGAAAAGCAAGGCTACGCGTGGTGTGAGAAACAGGCTCCTTAGACGAATCCCGGGAGTACACCTAATTGGTGTATAATTTTGAATTTGAGATGTCTCATCCAGGTGGAAGGGAAGATCATCAATACAAGATACCTCAAAAGAATAGTCTTAATTACACCATGGACTACTGAATAAAATGATTACATTTTCTCCCCAGTAAATTTCATACAATTAAATGCAGTAGTGTCACCTTATAAAATGTTTCAATTTTATAATTATTTCAGTTCATTTGCTCAGAAAAAAACATAAGCACAAATTTACTAAGTATCACCCAAATCTAGTCATTACAGTTCTAAAGAACTGCCGTCAATGTTAGTTGTGCTTGTCTGAACTTAAATGGATCCTGACATGTTTAAGTAGCTGTTACATGGATAACGTGAGGGACGGCCCCGGCTGGAAGGAGGCATTCAGTCGCAGGTACTCACATTCTACCTTACAGAAACCTGGAAAACACACAAAACTAAATGTGGGGGAGTGGGGACCAATTTGTATACTTTTTGACCAAAAACTTTTAGTAATCGGTCAGAGACGCTGTGACCGAGTTTCATGATTACGCCAGATTCCCGCGAGATGGCACAGGCAGCGCTCAGGGCTTTAGCGTCCTGGGTCCGAGGCTCGTGGTGCCTTCTCTCGGCCTCTGTTTGGGGGAGAAGAAGGGCGATTGCTGTTTGTCTGGGGTCACTTTTGGAAGAACCATGATCTTGCTGTTTGGGATAATGATTCTCAAAGCAGCAGGTGGCAGCTTCTGGAGCTGAGTGCTACCAGCAGGGCCGCTCCTGCCACCCCACCTGCCACCCCTCATCCCAGCACCAGCGGGAGACCCCAGGGGGAGGCTCCAGGGGGCAGGGGGCAGGGGGAGGCCCCAGGGGGAGGCCCCAGGGGGCAGGTGGCAGAGCAGGCCCCAGAGCCAGGCTGGAAGCTGGAGGCGTTCTCAGGGAGGACAGGGTGTGGACATGAGACTAACGTGTGGAAACTCCTTGTAGTGGCACCTTTCCGCTGTGATTACATGTGACTCTTTCTAAGGAGGCCCCACCCCCGCAGCCAGTCCCCAGCTGTCCGGCTGCACCTGTAGGGGCCGTGTGTCCTCCGTGCTACCAGGGGCCACCCAGCCTCCTGTCCTGAAGGTGCCCTGGGTGCGAGAGGAAATGCACCCCTGCGGGGCTCTGTCCTGGCCACTTGCTCACAGAGGTGCCTGCACTGCCGCGCGGCCTGCTGCTCTGGGATTCGTCTGAAAGCTCTTGGACCCATTTAGAAGGGTACAGAGTGGGGACGGGAGGTGGGCACTCCCACAGCAGTGACTGGAACCTCTGCCAGGATGCCCGGGGCTCAACCGAGGGAGGAAATTCACAGAGGGTGCCAGGGAGGTAGCAGGGGAGGTGGACAGCCAAGTGGAGGACCAGGGAGGCACCCAGAACTTGGCAACAGCACGAAGGCTCCGCCATCTCCTCCCCTCCCGGCACCTAACCATCCTCCCCGCCATCCTCCCCGCGCTGTGAGGGCCGCTGCCAGCCCAGAGGAGGCGTCAGGGCCAGAACTGGTGCGCTCCCACCAGCCTGCGGCACTCAGCAGGCGAAAGGAGAAACAGCCCGGCCTTCACCCCCTCCCCCTGCCCCACGATGCCTTTCCCTTACTGTCCACTTAGTCAGTCAGCAAGAGCAAGGCTTGCTTGTGGCGGAGGTCCCAGGAGGGGAGAAGCTAACTGATAAACTAATTAGTTTAACATCCTTCTGTGGTTATGCTGTGAAGGAAAAACAAGCCAGGTGCCTTGAGAGCCGCAGCAAGGTGTGAGTCAGAGGCAGGGCTGGAGGCTGGAGCCTCCAGGGCTGAGTGGAGTTCAGGTTGTGAGGGAGGAGGACACAGGCCCTGAGGCAGGGCCATCCCAGGGCCTGGAAGGCACCCCGCGGTGGGTGCGGGAGCAGGTGGAGAGCAGGACTGAGTCAGGGCAGTGGGAACGCCTCCCGCCCCAGCGGGCAGCAAGGATCAGGCTTCCGGGAGAGTGAGTTGTCCTCATTTATGGCTGAACTTACCGTGGCCGCTGAAGGTGTGAGGGGCTCATGGGTAGCAGTGGCCTGGGTAGGAGGCTGTTGCTGCTGCTGAGATGATGGCTGAGGGCGGCTAGAACTAAGGATGCGGACAGAGGCATATGGGCTTCAAATAAAAATCTGAGAAAGAATCAGCGGGACTCGGTGAAGAATCAATGGGAGACTATGATGAGGAAGAGGAAAATGCCGAACGCCTGCCAGGCTGCTTGTGCATCATCTGCATGTGCGGGAGCCGGGCCCAGGCAGCACTGGCGGGGGGC